TTTCACTGTGAGTTAAAGAAAAAAAAAAAAAAAGTTCTCTTTTTTTAAGATTCACAAGAAAAGGTGATCACACTAAATGCGATGTAATTCATACTGAACATCATTAACACACTCGGGGTTGTAATAATTATGTTGCGTGGCGTCAGTTTTCCTATCGTAACTTACCCATTTCCTTGACACTTTGACACTTGTCTGGGAGCTGGAGTCTTGTCAGACTCCTCCGTCGGGTGCTCCTTTCCACACTTGAGGCATCTGGGGTTCATATGGCAATTAGCGGCAGTATGAAAGAAATTATTGCAATTAAAACATTGAATGGTACCCCGAATGGAGTACCCTTCAATTTTAACCTGCATGTATCCCAAGTGGAAAGGTCAAATATGGATAGATTGATTTTGTTACGCGGCAAAGTTATCAGGTAAAGGGGAGTGAAAGTTTGGTTTTTTTTTAAATTAATTGGCTGACACTTGTTACAGCGTAGCCAAGATCTTCTAAATCGGTTAAATTTCATCTGTCTTAGTGCATCCTGGTAATCCTTTAACAACAACTTTAATCGGTTTCTCTCCTTAGGCTTAATGACATGGAACTCCATGTCGTGATCTTCATCCATGAAATTAATTAGCTCGCGGTATTCTTCGTGACATTCAAGGTTAAGTTTAATATGAGATCCTGAGGTTTTAAATTTAATGGTTGGAAATTTTAATTATTTTATCTAATTGTTCTCTGTAATTATTTTTGATTTTAAGAAAGACAGGAGTCGGGGTTTGGGGACAGGAATTTCGGGGATTTAGATTGAGGAATTTCGGAGTCTTGCTCTAAATTATCAAAAGTATTGTTCGTTTCTATAGGTTCAAGCACTGGAGTTGGGGTGATAGGTTACCCATTTCCTTGCGTACTTGACAAATTTTAGAAGTTCTGTAGTACTTTCGGATAGGAAAACGGGCCAATGGGAGAAAGCGTGTTTGCGGTCAGTGTTTTCACCAATGGCTAGGCAACCGTACAATTGCCACGTGTCGGACAAGAAGATGCGAAAGAATTTCCAGAGAGCCGCTCTCTTCCCATTGCGTCAATTTTCAGTGCCTCATTTCGCTCGTTAACTCAAGTTGTCAACCGGTTTCAGGGTGCGCCAAACAGGAACTCTGCAATCTTCATCCAATTTTGGAACCTGTTCGCAATGAGTCCGCAACAAACTCATTGCGAACAGCTTCCGAGCATTCCCGTCTTCGAAGATGGAAGAACAAATGCTAACAACACTTATTGATGACTTAGGTAGTAAGATGAATTATTTTTTTCCCCTTCCTATTTATTCTTTTTTTTATAAATGTCATGTCTTTTTTTATTTATTTAATTTATTTTCATGATTGTTTGATTTTTATTAATTGTTGGATTCATCTCGATACCGATGTAATGTGTTAGAATTAATTAATTAATTAGATTGCGAATAACAGGAAACGAATGAGATGCTTGGAGTTCTAATTGTGCAATTTATCGGATTGGAGAGAAAGGGGAGATTATGCTTTTTCTTCTCCCTTTCCCTCCTTGATTGTGTGAGTGTGTAAACTGTCATCTGTCTTTCTATTATCTGTTATAAAAGCCTGCATAAATAAGAGAGTGATGGGTTGTTTAAACTTGTTTTCGAATGAACTTCTTGTTTTTATTGCCCTTTCTAGTGGTGATTTCGAAAGATTTCTTTACTCGATAATGAAATTTATAAGTGGGATTTTTAAAATTTAATGTTTGTTGTGACTCCAATTTTGTTAAAGTTAGATTAGGTCATAATGTTTCTGCATTTTATTAGAAATCAACGCTTTGCTTTCTGCAACGACGCACCAGATGAACACGGTTTCTCGTCGATCACCGAAGTTAAGCATTATCGGGCGTGGTCGTACTTGGGAGGGTGACCAATGGGAACACCACGTGCCCTTGGCCTTTTAAATTTTTTAAAAAAACGAGGGTTTTTTGAGCTGTATTTTTGGATGGCCTTCGTTTCCCGGAACTGTTCTACGGTATGTGGTATACGATGAGCGAATATTTTCTATTTGCATGGTGTATATAATTGTTACAGTGTTGGAGTTTGTAGGAAAATTTAACCGGTTAATTTCCCCTGGCCTTCCACGGCGTGAAAAGCCTTTAAGTATTAATTTGCTCCTAATTTGACGGGATGTTGTCCCCCCAGCAAGCGTCTTCTTCGTTGCGTTTTAAAAGTGTGAATAGAAAATAATTTGATAAGAGACACATACTCACCTTACATTTTTTAATATTATTAAATTGTTTATTTCTTTCAGGAACTTGATGAAGTGTGATTTCTTTGATTCCATCGAAACACTTTGAAAAGGGTAAATTTTCTTTTATCTTTCATCAATGCATATTCACAAACACATGTATTTATCTATTTTGTGATTTTTTGCTTGTTTTCCTCATATATTGTTATGCACAAAATATTTTTGTTCTATAAAAGGCGAAGACATTTCACAAGGCAAAGAAAAAAAAAAGAAAAGTTCTCTTTTTTTTTTTTTAAATTCAATAAGAAAGAGTGATCCATAAATGCGATGTAATTCATATTTCACATTTAACACACTCGGGGGTTGTATAATATGTTGCGTGGCGTCGTTTTCCTATCGTAATTACCCTTCTTTCACTTTGACACTTGTCGGGAGCTGGATCGTAAAATTCCTCCGTCGGTGCTTTTCCACACTTGAGGATCTGGGTTATATGGCAATTGCGCAGTATGAAAAATTTTTTTAGTTTGGGCATTGAATGGGACCCGAATGGGTACCTTCAATAACCTCATTATCCCAAGTGGGAAAGGTCAAATATGGATAATTGATTTTGTTACGCGGCAAAGTTATCAGGTAAAGGGGTGGTTGGTTTTAATGTGGTGACACTGTTACAAACGTAGCCAAAATCTTCTAAATCGGTTAAAAATTTCATCTGTCTTAGTGCATCCTGGTAATTAAAAACAACTTTAATCGGTTTCTTCCTTAGGTTATGACATGGAACTCCATGTCTGTATCTTCATCCATGAAATTATTGCTATGGGTATTCTTGTGACATTCAGGTTAAAATTTTAATGAGGATCCTGAGGTTTAAAATTAATGGTTGGAATTTTTAATTTTTTTATCTAATTGTTTCTAATGTATTGATTTTTTGATTTAAAGACAGGAGTCGGGGTTTGGGGACAGGAATTTCGGGGATTTAGATTGAGAATTTCCGAGTCTTGCCTAAATTATCAAAAGTATTGTTCGTTCTATAGGTTCAAGCACTGGGGTTGGGTGATAGTTCCCATTTCCTTGCGTACTTGACAAATTTAAAATTCTTGTCTTTTTGGATGGGAAAACCCAAAGGGAGAAAGCGTGTTTTGCGGTCAGTGTTTTTTCCCAATGGCTAGGCACCGTACAATTGCCACGTGTCGGACAAAAGAAGATGCGAAAAAAACAGAGGGCTCTCTTCCCTTTTCGTCATTTTCAGTGCCTCATTTCGCTCGTTAACTAAGTTTTCAACCGGTTTCAGGGTGCCAAACAGGAACTCTGCAATCTTCATCAATTTTGGAACCTGTTCGCAATAGTCCGCAACAAACCTTCCAAGGAACTTGACATTCCGTCTTCGAAGATGGAAGAACAAATCTAAAAACCTTTGATGACTTAGGAGTAAGATGAATTATTTTTCCCTTCCTATTTATTCTTTTTATAAATGTCATTCTTTTTATTTATTTAATTTATTTTCATGATTGTTTGATTTTTTAATTGTTATTCATCTGATACCATGTAATGTGTTAGAATTAATTAATTAATTGATTGCGAATACAGGAAACGAAAGAGATGTTGGGTTCTAATTGTGCAATTTATCGGATGAGGAGGGAGATTTATTGCTTTTCTTCTCCTTTCCCTCCTTGATTGTTGAGTGGTAAACCTTATTCTTTTAAAATACTGTTTAAAGCCGTGCATAAATAAGATTAAAGGGTTTAATTCTTTGTTTTGATAAATTCTTTTTGTTATTTATTGCTTTCTGTGGTTTGAAGATTTCTTTACGCGATAATGAATTTTTAGTGTATTTTTTTAAAAATTTATGTTTTTTGGTTTTATCGCAATTTTTTATAATTAGATTGGTCATAATTTTCTGCATTTTATTTGAAACAACGCTCCCTTTTTCCCAACGCCAAAACCATGAAAGCACGGTTCTCGTCCGATCACCGAAGTTAAGCTTTTCCGGGGGGCGTACTTGGGAGGGTGACCACCGGGGAACACCACGTGCCGTTGGCCTTTTTAAAATTTTTAAATTTAAAAAAAAAAAAAAGAGCTGTAATTTTGGGTGGCCCTTTGTTTCGCCGGAACTGTTCTGGTATGATGGTATACGATGAGGAAATTTTTGGGGGTTTAAAAAATTTTACATGTTTGGGGGTAAAAATTTGCCGGTTAAATTTTTTGAGAAACCCCCGGGGAAAAGCCCTTTAATTTAAATTTTTGCTCCTTGGGCGAAAAAGTTGTCCCCAACCGGTTTCCGTTTCGAAAAAAGGGTGAATAAAAAATTTTAAAAAAGCCATTCCCCACATTTTTTTAAAAATCTTTTTTTCTTTTAAGGGAATTGAGAATGTACCTTTATTATGAAACCCGGGAAAAATAATTTTTTTTTCCTTTCCTAAACTTTAAAAACCCTGTTTTTTATTTAATTTGCTTGTTTTTTTATTTTTTTTCCAAAAATTTTTTTTTTAAAAAAAAGACATTTAGGGGGAAAAAAAAAAAAAAAAAATTCCCTTTTTTTTTTTTTAATGAAGAAGGAAATAAAAACTTTTCTCTCTCATTAAAATGGGGGTTTTAAAATTATTTTGTCTCATTTTTACGTAATTCCCTTTCCCTTTTAAAAATTTGTTGGGGTGGTTTTTTAGCCTTGGGTTTTTTCCCTTAGGTTGGGGTCAAAGGAATTCGCGGGGTGAAGAAATTTTTAAAAAAATTTAATGGCCCGATGGACCCCCAATTTTAATAGTTAAGTGGGGGTCAAATTTGATTTTATTTTTCGGGAAAAGGGAAAAGGGAGGAAAGTTGGTTTTTTAAAAACCCGACATTTTCGCGTGCCAGTCTTTAAAGGTTAAAAACCTTTGGGGGCCCCTTAAATTTTAAAAAACAAGGTTTTTTCCCCGGTTTTTAAAGGCTTGCGGATTTTAATGAAATTAATTAGCCCGGTATTTTCGGGTTTTAAGTTTTTTTGGTTGGGTTTTAAATTTAAGGTTAAATTTTATATTTTATTAAGCTTTAATTTTTTTTTTTAAAAAAAAGGGGGGGGTTTGGGAAGGTTTCGGGGGTTTTTGAGGAATTGGATCTTTCAAAATTTTCAAAAGTATTGTTCGTTTCTATAGGTTCAAGCACTGAGTTGGGTGTGGTTACCATTTCCTTGCGTACTTGCAAATTTTAGAAGTTCTGTAGACTTTCCGATAGGAAAAACGGCAATGGGAGAAAGTGTTTGCGTCAGTGTTTTCACTTGGCTAGGCAACCGTACAAATTCACGTGCGGACAAGAAGATGCAAAAGAATTTCCCGAGAGCCGCTCTCTTCCATTGCGTCAATTTTCAGTGCCTCATTTCGCTCGTTAACTCAAATTGTCAACCGGTTTCGGGTGGCCAAACAGGAACTCGCAATCATCAATTTGGAACCTGTCGGTAATTATCCCAACAAACTCATTTCGGGAAAGGTTCGAGCATTCCGTCTTCGAAGATGGAAGAACAAATGCTAACAACATTATTGATGACTTAGTAGTAAGATGAATTATTTTTTCCCTTCTATTTATTCTTTTTTTATAAAGTCATGTCTTTTTTTTTTTAAATTTTAATTTTTTTTCATGATTGTTTGTTTTATTAATTATTATTCATCTCGATACCATGTAATGTGTTAAATTAATTAATTTAAATTTGATTGCGAATAACAGGAAACGAATGAGATGTTGGTTCTAATTGTGCAATTTATCGGATTGAGAGGAAGGAGATTATTGCTTTTTTTCCCTTTCCCCCCTTGATTGATGTGTAGTGTTAAAACTGTCATCTTTTTTTACTTTATAATGCCCCTGCATAAATAAGAAGTATGGGTTTATTTTTGTTTCGAATGACTTCTTGTTAGTTATTTATTGCTTTTCTAGTGTGATTTCGAAAAATTTCTTTACCCCGATAATGAAATTTATAGGGTTTATTTTTTAAAAATTTATGAATTTTTCTTGTGATCGAATTTTTTTTAAGTTAATAGGTCATAATGTTTCTGCATTTTTTTTTGAATCAACGCTGCTTTCGCAACGGCCATACCATGATAAAGCACGGTTCTCGTCGATCCCGAAGTTAAGAATATCGGGCGTGGTCAGTACTTGGAGGGGGCACCTGGGAACACACGTGCCGTTGGCCTTTTTTTAATTTAAAAAAAAGAGGGGTTTTTGACTGTAATTTTGGATGGCCTCGTTCGCGGAACTGTTCTACGGTATGTGTTACGATGAGAATATTATTCCCTGCGGGGTTTTAAAATTTTCAGTGTTGGTTTGTAGGAAAATTTGAAAGGTTAAATTTTCACGAGCCTATCCCACGGCGTGAAAAGCCCTGTTAAGTATTAAATTTGCTCCGTATCAGGCAGGTTGCTCTTAGCAAGCGTCTTCTTCCGTTGCGGTTTTAAAAGGATGAATAGAAATAATTTATAAGAGACAATACTCATTTTCATTTTTTAATTATTATTAAATTCGTTTATTTCTTTCAGGAACTTGATGAAGTGTTCTCTTTGATTCCTCAGAAACACGCGAGAGAGGTAAGTTTTCTTTTCGATCTTGTCACATCAATGCATATTCCAACCATGTATTTATCCCATATTGAATTTGCTTGCTTTTTTCCCCATATATTGTTATGTCCACAAAATATTTTGTTCTATAAAAGGGGGACATTTCCCGAGGAAAAAAAAAAAGAAAAAGTTCTTTTTTTTTTTTAGTTCCAAAAGAAAAGAGAGTGATCACATAAGATGTAATTTATATGAACACATAAAAACTCGGGGTTTAAAAATTATGTTCGTGGCGTCAGTTTTCCTATCGTAACTACCATTTCCTGACACTTTGACACTTGTCTGGGAGTGAGTCTTGTCAGACTCCTCCGTCGGGTGCTCCCCACTTGAGGACATCTGGGGTTCATATGGAATTAGCGGCAGTATGAAAAAAAATTATTGAATAAAACATTGAATGGTACCCCGAATGGGGTACCTTATTTTAATGATGTATCCCAAGTGGAAAAGGGCAAATATGGATAGATTGATTTTGTTACGCGCAAGTTTTCAGGTAAAGGGAGTGAAAGTTTGGTTTTTTAATGCTACACTTTATTTAAACGTAGCCAAGATCTTCTAAATCGGTTAAAATTTCATCTTCTTGGGTGCATCCTGGACTTTAACAACAACTTTAATCCCCGGGTTTCTCTTCCTTAGCTTAAAAGACATGAACTATTTGATCTTCATCCATGAAATTAATTAGCTCAATGTATTCTTCGTGAATTCAGGGGTTTAAATTTAATATGAGATCCTGGGGTTTAAATTTAATTGAATTTTTTAATTATTTTATCAATTGTTCTCTGTAATATTTTTTGATTTTAAGAAGACAGGAGTCGGGGGGTTTTGGGACAGGAATTTCAGGGAGTTTGGGTTTAGGAATTCGGGTCTTGCTCTAAATTATCAAGTTTTTGTTCGTTTCTATAGGTTCAAGCACTGGAGTTGGGTGATAGGTTACCCATTTCTGCGTACTTGCATATTGAAGTTCTGTAATTTACTTTTCGGATAGGAAAACGGGCCTGGGAGAAGCGTGTTTCGGTCGTGTTTCCAATGGCTAGCAACCATTTCAATTCCACGTGTCGGACAAGAAGATGCGAAAGAATTTCAAGAGCCGCTCTTTCCCATTGGGCAATTTTCAGTGCTTCATTTTCGCTCGTTAACTCAAGTTGTCAACCGGTTTCAGGGTGCAAACAGGAATCTGCAATCTTCATCCAATTTGGAACCTGTTCGAAAAGAGTCCGCAACAAACTCATTGCGAACAGCTCAATTCCTCTTCGAAGATGGAAGAACAAATGCTAACAACACATTGATGACTGGTGTAAGATGAATTATTTTTCCCCTTCCTATTATTCTTTTTTTTATAAATTCATGTCTTTTTTATTTATTTAATTTATTTTCATGATTGTTTGATTTTTATTAATTGTTGATTCATCTCGATACCGATGTAATGTGTTAGGATTATTAATTAATTAATGCGAATAACAGGAAAAAATGATGCTTGGAGTTCTTTTATTTATGGTTTAAGAAGGGGGATTGTGCTTTTTCTTCTCCTTTCCCGATTGATGTTTAGTGTGTAAACTGTATCTGTTTATTACTGTTTTAAAAGCCGTATAAATAAGAGAGTATGGTTTAATCTTGTTTTTGAAGCTTTTTTGATTTTTGCTTTTCTAGTGTGATTTAAAAATTTCTTTTCCCCGATAATGTTTTTAGTTTTGATTTTTTTTAAAAAATTTTTGAATTGTTTGGTTGTGACTGCAATTTTTTAAAGTTAGTTTGGTCAAATGTTTCTGCATTTTTTAGAAATCAACGCTCGCTTTCTGCCAACGGGCCCTACCATGATGAAACACCGGTTTCTCCGATCACCGAAGAAACATTATCGGGGGTGGTGGGGGAGGGAGGGTGACCACCAAACCCCTGCCGTTGGCCTTTTTAAAAATTTTTTTAAAAAAAAAAGGGGGTTTTTAAGGGGAATTTTTTTATCCTTCGTTTCGCCGGTTTCTACGGTATGATGGGATACATGAAATATTATTCCGTGCGGTGTATATAATTGTTACAGTGTTGGGGTTTGTAGGGAAAATTTGAAAACCGGGTTTAAATTTTTTGGCCTTCCACGGCGTGAAAAGCCCCGTTTAAATATTAAATTTGCTCCGTATCGGGGGAGGATTTTTCCCCCCCAAGCGTCTTCTTGCGTTTTAAAATGATGAATAGAAAATAATTTGATAACAGAGACACATACTCACCTTACATTTTTTTTTTTATTAAATTGTTTATTTTTCCCGAACTTTATGAAGTGTGATTCTTTTGATTCCATCGAAACACCGGAGGGAGTAAGTTTTTTTTTTTCGATCTTGTCCCTCAATGCATATTCACAAACAATTATTTATCCTTTTGTGATATTTTTCTTTTTTCCCCATATATTGTTATGTCCCCAAAAAATTTTGTTCTATAAAAAGGCGAAGACATTTCACCGAGGAAAAAAAAAAAAAA